AAGAGATGGAGGCAAGAAAGTCAGAGAAGGAAATGTGATGATGGAAGGAGTGATGGGAGTGAGAGAGAAATTTAAAGATGCTATACTGCTGGCTTTAAAGATGGAGGAAGTAGGCACAAACCAAGAAGTGTAGGTGGCATCTAGAATCAGGAAAAGACAAGGAAACAAATTTTCCCCTAGAACCCCAAAAAGGAATGCAGACCTGTCAGTACCTTCATTTTATCCCAGTGAAACCCAGATCATACTTCTGGCCTCTAGAACTGTAAGATAATAAATGTGTGTTTTTTTAAAATATGCTTTTATTAATTTTACTTCACTTTTTTGGTTTTTGTTTAATTCTCACCTGAGGATGTTTTTTCCATTGATTTTTAGAGTTGAAGGGAGGGGGAGAGACAGAGAGAGAGAAACATAGATGTGAGAGAGACACATCAATTGGTTGTCTCCTGCACACACCCTGACTAGGGCTGGGACTGGAGCCTGCAATCGAGGTACATGCCCTTGACCAGAATCGAACCTGTGACCCTTTACTCTGAAGGCCAACACTCTATCCACTGAGCCAAACTGGACAGGGCTGTTTTTATTGATTTTAGAGATACGAAGGGAGAGGAGGAGAAGAAACATCAATGAGAGAGAAACATCAACATCAATTAGCTACCTCCTACATGCTTGGGCTAGGGTGAAGATGATATTGATAGATATGACCCACATAACCCAAAACCCTTGAGATCCTCAATAATTTGGGGGGGGGGTCCAAAAAGTTTAAGAACACTGTTTTAGGGTTCTCCTGTGCCTTGAAGTGGCCCCAGCTCTGCCAAGCCAGGAGTGGCTCTGTGGGCTGCAGTAGTAAATGAGCTACAACTTGACCAATAAGCTACAGTGCAGGCCAGTGCTTTCAAACAGCTACAACTTACCTCCTCCTCCTGCACTTTGCTTTCTGCGGCCATCATCTCGATCACCCAAAGCATCAGCCAAGTCAAAATCATCACCTTCAACGGGCACCAAAACATAAAGGAAACAGCCAACTGGTTAACGACTGGGTGCAAGATTCCAAAAAGGCAAAACTACACCCATGAGCTCAGTTAATCAATGGACTAAGCCAAAAAAATTTAAATTGGGTTCTAACTCCTTCTACAGATATCAATAATGAAAATACCAGCAGGATGGAGTAAGTTACTGCTTTCTGCCTTTGCATGATATTACCACTAGAGGCCCAGTGCACGAATTCGTGCACCAGTGGGGTCCCTTGGCCTGGCCTGTGGGATCGGCCGAAACCAGTTCTCCAACATCCCCTGAGGGATCCCAGACTGCGAGAGGGCTCAGGCCAGACTGAGGGACCCCACCGGTGCACGATCGGGACCAGGAAGAGATGTGGGAGATTGGCCAGCTGGGGAGGGACCGTGGGAGGGCTCCAGGGCATGTCCAGTCCAACTCGCTCAGTCCTGATCAGCCAACCCCCAGCAGCAAGTTAACCTACCAATCGGAGCATCTGCCCCCAGTGGTCAGTGCATGTCATAGCGACTGGCCAACTGGTCGACTGTCTGACACCTGGCAGTCAGTGCATGTCATAGCGAGCAGTTGAGTGGCCTTAGCATATCATTAGCATATTATGCCTTGATTGGTTGAAAGGCCGACCAGTCGACCAGATGACTGGACACTTAGCATATTAGGCTTTTATTATATAGGAGGACTTTCTAGTTTTTATATTTCTATATATGCTTTCCTTAGGCCAGCAATCAGACCACAGCATACTCATTGATTACAGATATTAACCCAATATTCAAAACCAGCTGTATAGAGTGCATAAACTGGACAATCAAGAGGGAGACTTCACAGTCACATACACACACAAAAAACCCCCACCCTTTTGAGGGTGCAAATGTGAAGACACAAGGGCAAATCATAAAGCAATAGTAAATCTCTCCTGAGTCAAGACTGTCTCTTTAGAAGTAACCCTACTTCAAGGCACATGGTAGCATGCTCCTAAATACTAGTAACAAGTTGCCAGATGGAATCAATGCTTGCATCTCCCACTCCAAGGCTAAGTTTGTCTTTATATCAGTGAAGATGTCCGAATAGTAAGATGGTCCATCTGGACAAAGGTTAAAACAACTTCAGGAAAAAGTTACAAAGAAACATCAAGTTCCAAAATCCTTTACTGAAAATGACACTGTAAAATAAATGTCATCCAAAATGTTCCAACAGCCTGAGAAAGCATTTGACAGGGGAGGGAAAGGGGATGATAAAACCTATACAATTACATCTTCTCTGATTTTAGAATGTGAAATGGTTGAAAGGGTAAGAAAATCCAAACAGGTTTTTCTCTTGAAATTTTCCCAAGCAAAACTTTTCATAAAAAAAAAAAAAACACACACACAGTGATTTGGCCAGCTATATCCTCTATTACTAGTAAGTTAAATCCAATGTTCATCTAAAGGTCTTGGTTGGCATTGCATATACAGGGCTTAAAGCTATGGGTAGTTCATCTGGACACTATACTACCCCAGAGGGAGGTCCACGGGGTCTTTCCTCATTGCCCTCATTAGAGTAGCATGTTACCTGCAGGCTTTGCCGGAGCTCTGGTCGTTCCAGGCCTCTTGGTTGTGGTAGTGACATGGTCCCATCTCTCTAAAGGAGGGAGGGGGACAGCAAGAGGAACACGTTTAGTAACAAAATATAGCAGCCACTTCATGGCTCAGGGAAGTCACATCATGAGTAGCGTACCCTGGTCTTGGTCCTTGAGTCCCCTAGTAGGCCTCTGAGAATCACTTAGAGAAGGATGACAAGGAGATATAGGAGGTTTAAATGAGACAAGTTCTGCTCACATTTCTTCAGAGGATGGGTGGTGAGGTGGATGTTGTCCCACATGCAACTTGTGACTAATGGAGCTGGGGCTTCCTCCCAGATCTGTTAAAGGTGGGCACATGGTCCAGTGAGTTCCAGAGCTGGAGCATGACCCTTGCGAGCTTCAAGCCTTGGTTTCCACCACTATCAACCTGGCAGCATAACCACAGACACTACTGCCCATGGATGGATGGAAGTTTTGTTCCCCGTAGAGTATGGAAGTGTCTTATAAACTAAAAGTGGTTATAACACCAAGGAAATATTTTATATCAGTGTGGCAACTACTGTTAATATTAGGTCTATGGGCTTAGCCATATTCCTTTAAAATTGTGGAATTCTTTCACATCAATTACAAGGCATGCCATGTACAAGTTTTCCAATAGTTTTTTTTCTTAAATATCAAGACTGTGCTGTAACTGTTAAACTATTGGAAGTAGTAGAGAGAAAGAAAATTTGAGTAATGGGAAAGCAGAGATGAAACAGGTTTAGGTTTATATACAGCAATCACTCAATAATTATTGACTACTCAGGAAAAAAACAAAATATAAATTAATTTAAAGTAAAATGATAGATACAGCTATAGAATGCAAACAGCAATCATAAGAGAGCTGGAGTAACTATATCAGATAAAATACACTTCAAGACAAACATTATTACAGGAGTCAAAGAGTGACATTTTATAATGATTAAAGGATGAATCCAGCAGGAAGAAATACAATTTAAAACATATATGGCCCTAGCCAGTTTGGCTCAGTGGATAGAGCATCAGCCTGTGGACCAAAGGGTCCCGGGTTCGATTCTGGTCTAGAGCATGTACCTTGGCTGTAGGCTCCTCCCTGGCCTGGGCCCTGGTCAGGGCTCGTGCAGGAGACAACCAACTGATGTATTTCTCTCATATCGATGTTTCTCTCTGTCTTTCCCTCTCTCTCCCCAAAAATCAATGGAAAAAATATCCTCAGGTGAAGATTAATGACAACAACAACAACAAAATCTGTATGACTCAAACAGCTCTGGCATAAAAATACTTGTTTTCCCAGTTTAAAAAAAAATCAATTCATAGATGTAAGAGTTTATTTTTGAACTCTCATTTCTTTTTTATTGCTGCACATGTCTATCCTTATGTCAATATCACACAAGTCTTGATTACTACAGCTTTGGGGAGTTCTGCCCTACTATGCACAGTTTCTAGAAAAGTCTGGTTTCTCTGAAGATCTTCAGGTGCCATTTCAAGAAAGGGCCTTCCTTACATGCATATGGAATCAGTTGCTCTGTCAGAGCTTGAGCCTGCGGTGATATGGAACATAAGCTTGGATCTGTGCACTTTTTAAGATAATATTAGTGACAGATCTTGTTAGCCTTTAAATAGGATAAGTGAGATGAGGAAACTCTAGTTACTTATAAAGGAATTAGAAGAGTAGTCAACTTCACTAAAGCAGCGAGTTCCTAAAATAAAGAAACCTATTTCTATGAAGCCTTTCTCAAAATAAAACTTAGAAAGGATTCTTTGCTGTTCAGCAAACACTGTCAGCAATATGGCATTCCTACCAGGAGTGATTCTTTATAATATGTGCTATAATAAAACAGTAAATAGTCCTAGCCGGTTTGGTTCAGTGGCTAGAGTGTTGGCCTGTGGACTGAAGGGTCCCAGGTTCTATTCCAGTCAAGGGCACATGCCTGGGTTGTGGGCTTGATCCCCATTAGGGGGCGTGCAGGAGGCAGTCAATCAATGATTCTCTCTCATCATTGAGGTTTCTCTCTCACACTCCCTCCCTCTCTGAAATCAATACAAATATATATTTTTTAAAAAGTAAATAAAACTGGTCAGGTTCACCCTGGCCGGTTTGCTCAGTGATCAGAACATCAGCTCTCAGACCTAAGGATCACAGGTTTGTTTCCTGGTCAAGGGCATGTACCTCTGTTAAAATATCCTCAGATAAGTATTAAAAACAAACAAACAACAACAAAAAACTGGTCAGGTTCTCCCAGGCATGGCTTAATGATGGTACCCATGGTATTCCAAGGAAAAGAGAACACTCATACAAAGCTTTATTTGAAAAGAGGAGAAATGAATTCCCCTGTGAGATGATTACACACAGAGAAAGATGGAAGGATGTGGAGGGGGGATGGACAGAGAAGGAGAGACAGTGGGAAGGAGTGAAGGAAGGGAGAAAAGGGGGAGAGAAAGAGGAACAAAATTCTGAAAACAACATGGATGAACCTTGAAAATATTATGCTCAGTGAAAGAAACTAAACATAAAGTCCACATATTATATTACCCCACTGATATGAAATGACCAGAATAGGAAAATGTATAGAGACAGAAAGGAAATCAGTGGGTGCCATGGGCTGGGGGGTGAGGAAGAATCAGGGGATTAGGGAGTGATAAGTAAAAGGTACAGTGGGTTGTCATTCTTTCTGAGATGACAGAAATGTTAAATTGACTGTGGTTATAGTTGCACAACCTTGTGAATACACTAAAAACCAATGAATTGTGCACTTGAAACCGGTAAACTGTATGGTACGTGAATTATATGTCAATAAAGCTGTTTTTAAATATATATTCCAGGAGCTTCCTCTTGTAATTGGAATAAAGTGTCACTATGCCTTTGAGACTTTATATGCTCTATCTCCTGGGAACTTCTCTGTCTTTTTTCTAATATAATCCACACTCCTAATCACATAGACTACCTTCCAAGCCCTAGAGCCAAGCTAATTCTCTGCTGTATGGTTCTTCCATCGAATCCCTTGGCTTTCAAGGGTTTTTCCCGGCTCCATGCATGTCAACTTTCACCAGAGAGTCCTTTACCATGTTTAAGTAGTTACCCCTTACCACGTATTTGGGCTCTCCCTGTCCCATCACTCTGCTATATTTACTCGAGTACTCAGTAGTACCTGAAATTATTTTATGTACTGTCTATGTCCTTCCAGAGAAAATAATTTCATGAGGAAATTGACCTAGGTCACCTGGTAAGTCCAGCCCTGGAATAGTGACTAGCAGCAAGCAAGTACTCAATAAACATTACTGAATGGATTATTGAAAGCCTTTTACAATACCCTGACCTAGGTGGTTCAGGGATTTTTTAAAAAAGAAATGTACCATATACAAAGAAGAACATTCTCTGCCAGAAAAATAATTGAGCCAAAGAGAGATGGTCAGGCCTGTGTCTTTGAAATTTTAGTTGCATAAAGTGTAAGCTAAAATAGAAAAACAAAGGATGGCAGAGTGATGTGGTCTTAAAGGATAGCATTCAACCCAAGACATCATGTGCAACCAAAGACATCTTGTATTGGTGGTCCTATGCATCCTAGACACACTGGCTGATGGGTGCTGATGAGTAAAATCCGATGGACAGGCATATGACTGAAATGGTGATGTAAATATTTAAAAGCCCTCCAGTAGGAAATTACTAAATTTACTAACTGGTGGTCTGTTTATACTTAACAAGTTTTTCTGTTTTGTTTTAGATCATGTTTGTTTTTGGAGATGTTAATTTAATTTCATTAAAACCACCGATAATAAATTAGTTGTATTTTTTTTCTTAGGAATCCAAAAGGCTACCTGAATGTATAGGACTGTGTGCATGCTCAGCAAAAACCTGAGAATACCCTAAGATCTTGCCTCACAGCATACATAAAAATGAACCTCCAAGAGATTTATAGTTTTAGGTATATGATCCATTTTGAATTAATTTTTGTATAAGATGTGAGGCAGGGGTCCAACTTCATTCTTTTGCATGTGACTAGCTCAGGGGTGGGCAAACTTTTTGACTCGAGGGACACAATGGGTTCTTAAACTGGACAAGAGGGCCGGAACAAAAGCATGGATGGAGTGTTTGTGTGAACTAATATAAATTCAAAGTAAACATCATTACATAAAAGGGTACGGTCTTTTTTTTTTTTTTTTAGTTTTATTCATTTCAAATGGGCCGGATCCGGCCCGCGGGCCGTAGTTTGCGCACGGCTAGACTAGCTAGTTGTCCCAGCATCATTTATTGAAGAGACTATTCTTTCCCCCATTGAATAGTCTTGGTACCTTTGTTAAAAATCAATGGGCCCTACCTGGTTTGGCTCAGTGGATAGAGCGGTCGGCCTGTGGACTGAAGGGTCCTGAATTCGATTCCACCCAAAGGCATATGCCCAGGTTCTGGTCTTGATCCCCAGTAGGGGGCGTGCAGGAGACAGCCAATCAATGATTCTCTCTCATCACTAATGTTTCTATCTCCTTCTCCCTTCCTCTCTGAAATCAAAAAAATTTAAAAATCAAATGGTCACCCTGGTTGGTTTGGCTCAGTGGATAGAGCATCGGCCTGCAGACCAAAGGGTTCTGGGTTCGATTCTGGTCAGGGGCATGTGCTTTGATTGCAGGCTCCTCCCCAGCCTGGGCCCTGGTTGGGGCTCATGCGGGAGGCAGCCAATCAATGTGTTTCTCTCACACGATGTTTCTCTCTGTCCTTTCCTCTCTCTTCCACTCTCCCCAAAAATCAATGGAAAAATATCCTCGGTGAGGATTAACAATAAATAAATAAATAAGTAAATAAATAAATAAATAAGTCATAGATACAAGGGTTCAATTCTAGACTCTCAACTCTATTCCATTGAGCTCTATGTCTATCTTTATGCCAGTACCATACTACTTGATTATTGCAGATTTGTAGTAAGTTTTGAAATTGAGAAGTGTGAGTCCTCCAACTTTTTCTTCTTTTGCAAGATTTTTTTAGTTATTCTGGGTACTTTGAAATTAGGATCAGCTTCTCTGTTTCTGCAAAACTCTAGCTGGGATTTTGACAGGAAATTGCATTTAGTCTGTTGATCAATGTAAGCAGGTGAGCATTTCTTATGTATGCCTGACTCTTACACTGGAGACCCAATCCTTCCAATCAAATCAGTGAAAGAACAACAATAATGACACACACACACTGAACACTCACCTTATATCAAGTACTTTGCATAGTTCTTCACAAGGGCCAGCTCATCTAATTCTTACCATAATCCTAGGAGGTAGTGCTTATTATTAGCCTCATGTAACACATAAGAAAACTGAGGAGCAGAGAAGTCAGGTGACTCACCAAAGGTGATAGTTAGTAAGTGGCAGAGGCAGGATTCAGACACAGGAAATCTGATGCCAGAGCTCCTGCCTTTCTCAATCCACAATATACAAAGGGATCCCACAAACCCATAAAAATCCCAAAAAACAACCAATAGCCCAGTTGAAAAATGGGGAAGGAATATGAAGAGACAATTCACCAAAGAGAAAAGTGCAAATGGTCAATCCTATCTAATAATAGAGAAACATGGTAATTAACCGTAACTTCCCTACCCTTCCCATTGGCTAATCAGCAAGATATGCAAATTAACTGCCAGCCAAGATGGCGGCCGGCAGCCATGCAGCTGAAGCGAACATGAGGCTTGCTTGCTCCAGTGATGGAGGAAGCCAAGGTTCCCCGCCTGCCGGGGCCCAGCTCTGAGCTCCGGATGCAACAATGTTGCAATTATGGAAGCTCAACAAACCCAGATACCTGCTTTCAGCCAGCAGCAGCCTCAGAGCTCGAGCTGGCTCTCAGCTCCAGTGACAGCTATAGAAGGTAAATAAATCCCAGAATAAAAAAAAAAGAGGCTGGGAGCTTAAGTCATCCACCAGCCTGAAAAAAGCCCTAAGCC